AACAAATCAACTATAGATTGAAAAGTTGTGTTCTCAAGAGACACAACCTTACAAAAGGAGACACCTCTTGAAATAATTTCTATAAAGAGACATACCCATTGGAAAATAATTATATAAAAAATCATGATTTTTCATATGAAATGACATTTTCATCTAATTGATCGTAGAATATTTCATAATATTCTATACAATTTTCTACAATTTCAAATTGCAGTTTTTGAACAAAACTCAATTTGTTCCCTTAAGTGAGTAGTACGGTTGGCAGATTCGAAACAGAACAGACAATGCACAACAAACACAAAGTTCATCTTAAGATTGTTGGGGAATACACCGATTATCTGCATATTATATTCACAAAAATATACCGTTTATGTTCACAAAATCGAAACAAGATTTTGACTTACCGAAATGGAGTATGAGAAACTAACCAGTGATTATCGAATCTGACCATTTCCATTCTTGAATTAAAACATGTGATTCTTCATATCGAACCTTGCATAAACCATATAAATAAAATTAATCATTTTCTAAAATCAAGTAGAAATGAAATCAGCAAAAATTAGATATAAGTTATGCGATTGGCTGAGGCGAGTATAACTCTTTCCTTAAGATGAATTTGCCCCGCATCGGTGCTAACGGTTTTCCAAATGACTTCGACCAACGAACTCGAACGGAATTTCCTCTCTACCAAGGAAATACATGAAAATGCTATGGAATTAGAAAGGAGAGAATTGCAACAGGAGAATGAATGCTCAATGCATTTGGTGTACCAAAACTATGTCCATAGGGTTTTATTTATAGATGTAGAAAGGATGCAAATGAAGTAGTGCGGGCCAAAACATGCATCCTTTCAAAAAGTTGTAATACTTGGCCAAAACCTGAATCTTTTCGAAAAGTTGCAACACTTCATTTCTTCCAAATTTAGTCCTCAATTTCTCATTCATCCGGAATTGGTTTCGAGATTCCAAATATACCACGATGATCTACACGACGAGTAGAATAAGTTGGTCTATTTACTTTTGTAATTTGACCATTAGATCAAGTCCGAATATTTGGTCGAAGTTGACACGTAATCACACCTTTTCATTTTCCACTTTTACACACCTTTTCATTTTTCAATTTTTGGTTAATTATTTGAACCAATTCCTACATTTTGTTACGTGTTAATTCTGCAAAATCATCGACTCTGTATTTGGGGCTGATCAAGGTATGCATGCATGATTTGGTGCAGTTGCTGCTTCTTTCCAGACAAGTCAAGCACCTTAGAGGATGCTGAAAAGGAAATGTTGGAGCTGTACTGTGAGAGGTTACAAATTCAAGATGGCCACAGTTCTTGATGTTGGATGTGGCTGGGGATCACTTGCTCTATACCTAGCACAGCAATATTGCAATTGCCAGATTACAGGGATTACCAAATCAGTGACCCAGAAAGCGCACATTGAGGAGCAATGCCGATATGTTTCCTTGATATTTTACCTTATATAAAAATTCCGTTTAGGCATAAAATTCATCCTAATTGACCTGTATATACTACATAGTCTATCGTGTTTTCAGATTGGTTCATGTTACACTAGACAGCAGTTTCCTTGATTTGTTTAGAAAAAGATTCGCTTGATAATTAAATTTAGCATTAATTCCCTTGCTTACCATTGTTTCAACAAGATATTGTCCATTTAACAAAGATTACGTCTAAAATATAACTTTTGCATTCTCTAATTTGACATGGAAGTGAGGTAAGTGGAGAAAACATCTTATAGAATAATTAGACTCCTCAACTTCGAAAACAAATTTCACCTACAAATATGTCCTATAGTTTTGCACCATTTTAATCTTCATCAATCTCCATGTGATAGCCTTGAAGACGTCTCTAACAATTAATTCTCGAGCTTGGCTTGACTTCTTAGTTATTAATCCACTTTGGACATCTAAAAATTATGTCTCCAGATTTAAGTTCATGGTTACCTCCAGCTTCGAATGTATGTCTGGGAGATGTTTTAAGTCCTTGATCTCAACAGTGCTTCGTTTTCCTTTCAGTCGTGGACATATGCAGCACACCTTGTACCTATGAAGTCCTCTCAACGTGTTTTATCTTAGAATCTCAGCAAAATTTTGACACGTGAAGTTAGCATTGGAGGTTTGAAATGCAGTGCGTCTTTCTGGAATCATCCACAACAACAAAAGCACTTTTTCACTCTTTCATATACTAGGGGATTTCACGTTGGCCTCTATGGTAGAATCAGTCGGGGCTCACCTTTCCCACAAAGAAAGAAAATCATTCCAAGTCTAAAAGCACTTACTAGTAACTAAATAATTTATTACGATCAAAACTTGGTTCAGTTTCTAAGATCCGAACTTGGTTTTTTTAAAAACCTTATGTATACCACTGTCAGGTCCCCTAGGAAACTGGAACAGGATCCATCTATTTATGTATATTTACAAACGTTTAAGGCCTATATTAATTGCCTGCTTTTTCCCTATATTCTTCCCCAAAACCAAACTTATGGAGAGACATTTGTCTGAAATTAGTTATTCGCCTCACAGGGATCTTCGAGTGCAGAATGTCGATATCGTAGTTGCAGGTATTAGCACATTTGATATGGAAGCTTCCTATGACAGAATATTTTCTATTGCAATGTTTGAGGTACTTAATTCTTGTCAAGTCATAAATTGGGCTATGAGATTGCTGTTGGCATGGCATGGCTGTTGAACTTGTTTTATTCTTTAAAAAACAGCATATGAAAAACTATCGAGATCTTCTTAAGAAGATATCCAGGTGGATGAAACCAGATGGTCTTCTGTTTGTCCAATATTTCAAAGTTTAAACGAAAGGGGACTAAGTAACCATCGCCATTATTCTTTTGTAGGATGTCAATGGAGATGATTGGGTTTCAATGTACTTCTTCAATGGAAGCACCATGCCATCTGCGAACTTACTCCTTTATTCTCAGGTGAGCTTACCACAAACTTATTCTTGAGGATGGCGACATATTAGAATTTCTTTTCTAAATTCTCACTTCCATTTCCTTTTAATTTTCTCTCTCCAATGAATGGTCTTCTTGTTTCATGCTGCAAGCCATTTCAAATGCACTCTACAGTATAGAATTACACAGGAGAGCAAGTCTTCTTAGTCCCTTTGAAAATATGCTTACACTGCATCATAAGATGTAGGCAAATTAAACGACGTCTGTTTCAATTATAGAAAAAGAAAAGAGAAAATGAAGGAACTTTTAATTCACTGCTTCAAGGAAACTTTTACACCATCCTATATTCCCTGAAGAGACTAACGAACATTATCCCGCTAAAACGCAAAATAATAACCAAGTATTTGGTTCAATTTGGTTAAAAGAAAATTAGAAGTGAGCTTTTCAGGGTTTTATGTTACCATAAGCGCTCTGATTTCATTGATGACAGAATTATGATTGGAACTTTTGAGGTTATGACTAGCTACTGCTGGTTCTTGTTGATGTTTAATATGCCGGATGACGTTTGTATAGCTGATCACTGGCTAGTTAATGGAAAGCATTATGCTCAAACATGGTAATGATATTTATCCTTCCGAGCAAATTTTTCGGAATGAGACTTGAATCCAATTTAAAAGCTGATCTAGCAATTTCTATTGCAGCGAAGAGTGGCTCAAAAGAATGGACTTGAACTCGAATTCTGTGAAACCAATAAAGGAATCGACTTATGGCAAAGATTCAGCTGTCAAGTGGACTGTCTATTGGAGAACGATTTTCATTGGACTTGCTGAAGTATTCGCGTACAACGATGGAGAAGAATGGATGGTTTCCCATTTCCTCTTCCGGAAAAAATGATAGCAAATTCTCCAACTGCGAATACCTTGAAAAGAAAGGTAATCCATATGGCGCAGAACATACAGTTGCAAAGTTTCTACCATTCGGAATCCTAGGTATTCCATGACCACGGAATTACCAAATCTATGACATCAGCTTAAGTTTATTTATTTTTTTTTTAATTTTTTAATTAAAATCTATCATAATATCCATAAGTTAGTAATACAGACCTAAATAAAAAAAATGAACATCGAACATTCAGCGGATGTAATGGTAGCTATAGTGTGGAGGTGAGAGTGTATGCCTAAAATAGAAAAGGAGATAAATGAATTAGAATTTAAACTTAGGGTTTGACTGTTTTGCATGATAGGTGATAAGGTAAAATGTAAGGATAAATATATTAACACCACAATTTTTATTTCTTGCCCCATAGTTTAGTTATACTTAAAGTTCTTAATATTTTGGTCATTATAGTACATATGTCTCTAACGAGTTTTTATGTCATTTTTATCTTCAAACTTTTCATTAGTTAACACATTTTGCATTTAATAACAGTTTTATATCTAAAAATTCGTTGAAATAGTGTAAAATAACTTATTTTTTCATTATATTTTTTGAAAAAATAAATAAATACAAAGATCGATTTTTTTTTTCTCTCATTTTAAGACATGAAGATAAAATATTTTCATATAAATCATTGTCAAGGGCAAGGGCAAGACGTACTAATTAATGGATGGTTAAAATATTTGTCACAATGAGTAAAGATTGAGGAGTTTAGCTACAATTAAAATATGGTGTATTAAATGAAAATTGTGGTGGCAATATATTACCTTTTTGTCCATTATGCAAATGTTCAATTTTTTTGGTATATAAAAAATAATAAAAATTGAGTTCGATTCTTGGTTTGGCTTTGATTTTTTGTTCTATTGTTTGAAACCAAAATCAGATTCAAATGGTTTTCGATTCTCAGAGCTAAAATCATTAGTGTTCTTTTAGAATCGGATTGAATCACCCAATAAGGTTTGATCTAATATTTTGTCACCTCTAATTACACGTCAAGTTTAATTTTAACTTAAGAATTCCATTCCAAAATACTGGTTTACATGCTGCAATCTTCTATTTTCGTGTATTTGTGAATAGTATATGTAGATTTATGACATACGATATGACTTATCACAGCTGACAATAACTAGGCAATACAATCAGTGAGGATTTAACTTCCAAGATTTGCTCTGTTTTACAACACCAAATTGTTCAAATAACACGAAGTGATACACCTCACAGAGCCTTTAACTCGGAGGCATAATGACCAATTCAATTGATTATAAAGCACTACTTGCAATAGCATAGAGCCTCCCAATATCCTATCCTACTTCAAAATTGCTAAGATATACATATTAGTAGAATTTGGCATGTCCCAAATGATATAGATACTGAAGGACGTCATAACCCATGCCGAAAACTGAAGGGCCAAACCATGTTGAACAGAATTAAATTACATTCTAAGACATAAACGAAACTGTCAAATGAGTAAAAAATTTATGTTAGCTTCTGCTCTTAATCTTTCTTTGGGATTTCAAGTCCACCACAACTACAGAAATGTTGTCTTTACTGCCCTTTTGGAGAGCGCGGTTTGATAGATACTCGGCTGCTGCTTGAGCTGCAGGATCAATTCCTTCACCCCTTTCTTCTGGAAGAGTGAAGCCGTTATTTTTATGCCAGAGGAGTATCCTTTTACGAGCCATGTCACAGACCTCCTCATTGGTCATGACATCCCATAAACCATCACTAGCCAGAATGAGGCATTCATCTTCCCTAGTTCGGGGAATAAAGACCACTTCGGGATCTGGAATAATCCAAGGTTTCAAATATCTGTCCCCTGCAACATCCAAGAAAAATTAAACAAACTAAAATGCTAGCTTTCCAAAACAATTTACAAACAAGATTATATAATAATTTAAGGTGCATATATGTTTTAACTATAATTTTCAATTGCAATTGCAACACCGACTAACTTGACTTACAAGTATACCATGGTGAAATTTACCGTCCTACATTGGCTGACGTTGTAGAAAGATAGGTTCAAAATCATGTGATATTTAATTATAAGATTATTATTTCTAAGATATCAAAAATGTAATTCACGAATCTCTTTATTCTATCAATGAATGTCTAGTACCTACTACGGGTAACAAACAAGAGTTTAGTTTTCTTAATACTATCGTGTGCCATCCAACAAGGTGTTTTAGTATCTTCTCACCAGAACAATGAAGGCAAAATGTTATGAGAGGGAAATATAATATGCCCCTATCATAAAATCAGATTTTTAATAGATTTTGATAAAAATTAATGGATTTGTAGTCGAAAAGTTGTTTTGTCTCATAAAATGTGTGGTTAAAATTAATTTCGTTGACATTGACTTGGAATTTTAATCTAGATCAAACAGGGCTATTTCTCAATATGGAAACTCAAACATACACAACCTTCTCAATAAACTCCTAATTGAAAGCAAATATTATTGAGATTCCCAATTCAATAATCAACTATCTTCTTTCACTCTGCAATTTCATTCAGCAACGACTTACTCTTAAGGTTATATTTGGTACGCAATATTTAACAAAAATATATGACAATATACAAGATCATAGTTCTCTTCTTAAAACTATCTATCCGTACAATCCAACTACCAAACAAGCCACAAGTGATTTGCCATTTTCCTAGCATGCCAAACTTTCCCATCCCACCCCACTCCATTTGCACCAGGAATAAAGGCAAATAGAAATAGGAAAACAAAATGGTCTCCTAAATGAACTGACAGCAAATAGTAAAAACAAGGCCCCACAAATCGTCTTTTATTTTTATATCCAACTGATTATTATGAATGGTGGTTTAACTCCACATATTTGCATTTCATGAGATGATCAATTCAAATAAGATATATATATTTTTCAATATCAGCAAGAAATCCGTGGAATGGCCTACATCATTTATACCATCTACATTGCAAAACATTTCTAGGACTTTCAAAATACACATCACATCCATGTCTCTTCAACAAACCTTAAGTTTACATTTTAACAATTGCCATCTCATTACAAAGCATATATTTCTTGGATAACATGGGTTGTGCCCCTTGAACAATCCCCTGGATAACTAGGGGATTGTAATAGGGGTGCGCTTCCCGCGCGTAGACCCCCCCCCCCCAATAGGGGGTGCCGCACAATCTCCTGGTTGTCGGGATTGTTCAAGGGGCTTTACTCAGATAATATTGTGCTAGGAAATATCACGAAATATTTTGAATAAAAAAGAATAATGCTACTTGTAGTAACTCCTATCGCAGTTGTTCTACGTAACATACCTGTAACGGTCAGTGATTTGATGCAAGATGCAATAAAAACCTCACACATTAATGCATCAAATTCCAAACCGCCATATAGAATGCCACGTAGGGCGATTACTGCAATGAGCTACTATGAATAACATTACTCACTCTAAGCGAGCAAGCAAGTTACTATGCACACTAATTTGAAACAGACAGACTGGAAGTGACAGACAAAGGCTATGAAATTTGCACCAATAGATCTAGACATTGCAAGGACGCCAAAAACACGGTGCCCATTCCACTGTATCACTTTTCCTCCGGCTGCTTCGATTCTTGCATGTTCATCTTCCCTATTAGGCTAACACAAGAAACAAAAGAAAATTAGCTCATACAGATTACAGATTAAAAAAAAAGATTTATAGCATGTTTGGTCGTGCTTAAATATAACTTTTGTAGGAAGTAAGTTGAGAATTACTTTCTAGAATAATGAGTTTGTTAGCAAAAAGTAACTATGAAAATCATGTTTGACAAAATAAGTAACTTACAACCAAACATGCTAGAATAAGTAACTTAAATATAACTTTTGTAGGAAGTAAGTTGAGAATTACTTTCTAGAATAATAAGATTGTTGGTAAAAAGTAACCTTGAAAATCATGTTTGACAAAATAAGTAACTTACAACCAAACATGCTCTTAGATGAAAGTCGCATGCTTACTTTATGATCCACAGATAATGCCATGGGCTCTTTCCCACGGCATAAGATTGCCCTAGAATCGCCAGAATTAGCTACTATAATGTGCGATGAACAAACTATCGCAACAACTGCAGTTGAGCCAACAGTTTCCGAAGCAACCGGTTCATTATTTGCTTTCCCTCCAATTTCGTAGTCAACCTTGAGAAAGCACTTCGTGAATGCTATTCTCCACTGCTCTTGGCAGTTACCTTTACTACTTTTATCATTTGGATCAGCCATAATTATTTCCAATTCCTCTGCCAAAGCCATATGCATTCGCTCCCGACAGTAATTTGCAACCTGAAAATAAGATGCCAATACCATAACTCAAACACAACAATTTCGTGGTTGTCAACAAAGGGTGTCTCCCTAGTTCCTATGTTATATAAAAGAATCTGAGGGAGGGCCGTTTTCCTATGCATGCAAGAAAAACAGAGAGCTGTCAGATTTCCAACTGTGAAGCTCCATGATTATAAAGAAAAAAATTTCAATTGTGGATGGACGCAACTCTTGCACAAGGGACGAACTCTATAAATTCATGTGTTTTTGTTGGTTTCTGATAACTATTCCGTTTACTATTGCTATTGAAGTTAGGGTCTAAGAATCTGTAACATCCAACTTCAAATGTGTGTTCACATGTGAGAGTGTGAGGGAGAGATTTAGAGAGTGTGTGTGTGTGTGTGTGTGTGTGTGTGTGTGAGAGAGAGAGAGAGAGAGAGACCTGAGAGCCTCCATGGCCATCATAGACTCCAAAGAAATGGGTCGTCAAATGACTCAAACATTGTCTCTCTCCATCAAGCAAGCAATCATCAATTAGCATCCACAAAGGAATTTTAAGAAACCTAGGCACCGTTGCAACTGCATCTTCCATTTCTGGTCTCCTTCCACACAAAGATGTGAATCCCCAGAGTGGCACATAATCCACCTGAAAAACACTTCGCCTCACTCTTTCACCAGAGGTTCTGTCCAACTGAATAACAACTGTTGATTTCAAACCCGAACCATCTGGAACCTCATGCCCAGCTCCTACTGCCACAGATAAAGAATCACCAATGATCTCACCAACAGTTGGCTCAACCAAATCTGTCGTCTTTGCTATAAGTTCACCAGTACTCTTCTCAACTTCTGCAAAATTAGTCATTCCTATCTCAGGATTTGACTCAAAAGCTATGAAATCATCACAGCATATACTACTAGTATCACTCACCACAGACAGAGAACATGAGCTATCAAGAACTGGATCCCCCTCCAATGACGATATGCCATCCTCTTCACTTTCCTGGACTACAGTATCCGTAGTGAGTGTGGCATCCCTTTCGCCCTGATTCTCTTCAGTCCCCAACAACACTGTAGCCTGAACTTCACTTTCCAAATCACCGGAACTGCAATCCTCGTTATCACGGTTGACAGGATTGGACATCGAGCTTTTAGTCGAGGAATTCAAAACGAGTCTATTGGTGTCACCCTTCAATCCTACGCTAGTAACATCGATACAACTTTCTACACTCGAATTATAACAAATCAAATTGCCCAATTCAAATGGAACCGAAACTGCCAGATACATATCCTCCATCTAAATCACTTTCGAAACAGCAGTAAAAGTCACCCTCCTGCCCATCTAAACTTACGCTACTTGTCATTGCTAAATTAATTCATCGCCTTCCTCCAATATCGATGAAAATCTCAAAATAAAGATAGAGAGTGTCAACAAACCGTTTTCCATTCCTCAAGAGAATATATATACTGCTAGCTATATGAAGAACTCTTACTTCACAGCTGATTAGAGCATCCAATTCAACCTAAAGAGGCTTAAAAGTGAAATGGGTAATCAGATCTGGTGACCAGAAATATAATAATAAATACTATTTGTAACAAATCTCACCATCAAAGACAGGGAACATGATAAAAAAAAATAAAAATCGAATTACCTAAATAGATGTAGGGGCAAACAATGACATTAAGCTCGGCCCTTTATCCTCAACAACAAACACAAGAAAAGAGAGAAAAAACAAAATGGTTCATGTGAAAGAAACCTTGGACAGCAAAGGAAGGGCAAAGTTTCAAGAATCACAAGAAAATTCCGAAAAAGATAAGCACTTTTTTTCACATAAAACCTGAGTACCCTGCAGCTAAGGCAAAACCCCTTATTGAAATCTTGGTGTCCCTTTCGTCTAAGATAACACTCTCTTTCAACCAATAATTTGCTTCATTATAAGTGGAAAAACTAGTTAAAAGTTGTAACTAGTATCTTTTTCCATTTATGAGAAAGGTTAAGAACAAATCCGTCATCTACAGATTCGCTTTAAACTAAAGTCAGCTAAGAACAGAGAATAAATCATTAAATAATCAAGAAAGCAAAAAATGGGGTCTCATTGACGACTCAAAAAAATCTAGGTATAGAGATAAAATTAGTGCTGAACGTTACTGCCTTTTGAGAATTTTCCAGCTCAATTAGCTTCTTCTTTCTTTCTCTATTTATACACCAAAATCTCAATATATACACTTTACATACAAATAGAATATTCTTCTTCTTCGCCCCCCAGGGCACTTCTCCACTGGCAAAGGACGGACGCTGTCAAACTTGGCAGAGCAGAGGTCGTGAGTTCGAAACATGGGGCTCTTGGAAGGCAAGAATTTATTCTTGGAAGGCAAGGGAACATTTGGAAGGCAAACCATTTATGAGAAAGGTTAAGAACAAATCCGCCATCTACAGATTCGCTTTAAACTAAAGTCAGCTAAGAACAGAGAATAAATCATTAAATAATCAAGAAAGCAAAAAATGGGGTCTCATTGACGACTCAAAAAATCTAGGTATAGAGATAAAATTAGTGCTGAACGTTACGGCCTTTTGAGAATTTTCCAGCTCAATTAGCTTCTTCTTTCTTTCTCTATTTATACACCAAAATCTCAATATATACACTTTACATACAAATAGAATATTCTTCTTCTTCCTATCTACTAGTGACATATGTCTAACTGTATATACACATCCCTTAAATTCAGGAAATTCACTGCTATGTAATGTCGATTCTGTTGGTGATATTAACAGCCCCTGCAGGATTCAATTTTGTTACTTAATCCTAACACCCCCCTCAAGGTGGAGTGTGTCTCTACCACTCCAAGCTTGTCTCTGAGGAATATGAATCTTGAGTGAGAAAGAGGTTTAGTCAGTATGTCAGCTGTTTGATCTGAGGAGGGAACAAAATGCACTTCCAGTTCTTTCTTCAAAACTTTGTCTCTCACAAAATGGACATCCAGTTCTATATGTTTGGTACGGGCATGATACACTGGATTTGATGCCAGTGCACTTGCACTCAAATTATCACACCAGATTTTAGGTATTGCATTGTGTGGTATACTTAACTCATTCATTAGGGATTGAATCCAAGCTATTTCTGAAGCAGTGTGAGCCAGTGCTCTATATTCGGCCTCTGTGCTTGATCTTGCAACAACATGTTGTTTCTTAGAACACCAAGACACCAAACTATCACCAAGGTAAACACAATAACCAGCTGTGGATCTTCTATCATCTGGGCATGACGCCCAATCTGAATCTGCAAATGTTGTAATGTCTAAGCTGTCACTCCTTCGAATAACCAAACCATGTTTTAGTGTACCCTTTAGGTATCTGAAAATTCTCTTGAGAGCCTTCCAATGAACATCTGTAGGAGTTTGAAGGAATTGACTCATTTTATTTACCGAATAGGCAATATCAGGTCTTGTGTGTGCAAGATACTGAAGACCGCCAACTGCACTCCTATAAAGAGTAGGATCACCCGTAGTTTGCCCTGCATCCTTAGCTATTAACTTACCTGCTGCCATAGGTGTTAAGGCTGAATTCAGGTTTTCATAACCAAATTTCTTCAGCAAATCAACTATATATTTTGTTTGAGTTAGATATAGCCCAATTGTGTCTCTGTAAACTTCAATACCCAGGAACTGACTGAGGTTTCCCATATCTTTAAGAGCAAAACAGGCATTCAATTTATCAATAAATATCTGCAAGTGTTGGCCATTGTTTCCTGTTACTACTATATCATCCACATAAACCAATGCAAACACTACATTTCTTCCATCCATTGAGAAAAACAACGAGTTATCTGCCTTGGATTGTTTGAAGTTCCATTCCAGTAGAGTCTCCTTTAACTTGTCATGCCAAGCTCTTGGTGCTTGTGGAAGTCCATAAAGTGCCTTTTCCAGTTTACTTACAAAATCAGGATTTCTTTGATCTTCAAAACCTTGTGGCTGATTCATGTACACAGTTTCTTCCAACTTACCATTCAAGAAAGCATTATTTACATCAACCTGTCTGATCTCCCAATCTCTTGTCACAGCAAGAGTCAATATAATTTTCAACATTGATGCCTTAACAACTGGACTAAAAGTTTCACTAAAATCAACTCCAGGTGTTTGTAGAAAACCTTTTGCAACAAGTCTTGCTTTATACCTCCTTATCTTGCCTTCAGAGTCACATTTCAACTTATAGACCCATTTGTTTCCAATTATTTTCATTCCAGATTTTGGAGGCACCAATTTCCATGTTCTATTCTTCATCAAAGCATCATATTCTTCTTGCATGTCTGTTCTCCATTTATCACTTAACAATGCTTCATTTGTAATTTGTGGCTCAACTTCAAGCAGTTCATCCTTAATTTGATTAGTATACATTTTTGGTTTGAAGATTCCTGATTTACTTCTGGTGGTCATATGATGTCCAACAGTTTGTGTTATACTATGATCATCAATATTAGCATCAATTTCACCATTTTCAGTTTGCTGATCATCCTGATCAAACTCACCAGGCACTACTTGGTTCATTTCAGCACCACTTCCTTCATTTTCATTCAACTCATTCTCTGTTTCATATTCCACACTCTTGTAGGAGCCTGCAGCAAGTGTTGCATCAGGATGGGTTGTATCAACTACATTTTGAGGTGATGTCTGATGGCTTAATTCAATATCAAAAGGAAGAGGGTTGGTGACAATTTCTGAGAATTTTGGCTAACTACGCATGTTTAGAAAATTAGACTTGAAGGGAAATTCTTCTTCGTTGAACACCACATGCTTTGAGATATACATTCTACCAGTAGAGTTTAGGCACTTATATCCTTTATGTGAATTACTATAGCCGAGGAAAACACATCTTTGAGAGTGGTATGGTCTTAGACATGGGTAACAAGCACAGCCAAATGTTTTTAATGTCTTGTGATCGAAGTTTCTTCTATATAGAACTTGAAAGGGTGATTTGGATTGAAGTACAGGAGTAGGTAGTTTATTTATTAGATAGGTGGCTGTTTGAAAAGCTTCTAGCCAATAGTGCAATGGCATTTGTGCCTGGGCCAAAAGTGTTAAACCGGTTTCGGTGATGTGTCTGTGTTTCCTCTCTACCCTACCGTTTTGTGCAGAGGTATAAGGACAAGAATACATAAGTTTAATTCCTGATTCTGAGGCAATTTTATCAAAGGTCCTAAATTCACCTCCCCAGTCTGATTGTAATGTTTTGATTTTTCTTTCAAGGTTATTTTCTACTAACTTCTTGAATTGAATGAAGATACTTAAGGCTTCGGATTTGTGTTTCATTGGATATAACCATGTGAACTTGCTATAATCATCCACAAATAGGATATAGTACTTAAACCCTGAGGTAGAAACCCTTGGCGCTGGTCCCCAGCCATCAGTATGTATGAGGTCTAGTGGGTTTGATGCATGAGTTGAAGATGTGTTAAAGGGCAAAGCATGGGATCTACCAAATTGACAGGCTTCACAAAAGTCTGAACTTTCATTAACTTTGACACCTTTATTACAAGACTTAAGGACTTCATTCAACACAGAACTTGAAGGATGACCTAGCTTTCTATGCCAGGTATCTAACTCAGACTTAGGTAACTTAACACTCTTGATTGACTCATTACACCTTGAGCTTGCTGAGAAGACTGCAAGGTTGGAGTTATTTCGGTAGCTTGACTCTGTAGTGGTTGGGACTTGGTAGTTTCAGTTGATACAATCCATCTTTAAGCATCCCTTGCAGCAAGATCTCCTTCGTTTGCAGGTCCTTAACAACACAATAGTTAGGATAAAACTCCATAAATACATTGTTGTCATTCGTTAGTTGAGAGACACTAATCAAATTTTTCTTGATTGCAGGCACATGAAGTGATTTATTCAATGCAAGGATCTTATCATTCAATGTAATAAGGTCTCTTCTGTCAACATTATCAATATGCAAAGAATTCCCATTACCAACAAGCAACTTTTCCTTACCTCTGTATTTCATCATGGTATTTAGATTACCTTTGTCATCAGTGACATGGTTGCTTGCTCCAGAGTCTGCAAACCATGCCGAGTCCTCAACGGTTCTTGGTGAAGCAACATAGGCAGCAGGTGATGAATTGTTCTGCATATTCTGGTTCCCAGGTCTGCTGCCCATATACCTGTCATCATATCTATTGAAACACCATTTAGCCGAATGGTTATTCATCCCACAAATCTGGCAGGGTCCTCTGCTTTCATTCATCCTACCTCCTCTACCCCTGCCTCTTGTTCTTCCCCTGAAGTTAGAAAATCTGCCACTATTAATAGGTCTAAAACTTCTACCACCAGAAGAACTTGTCCTCTGTGTTAGCTGCACACTTGTTTGGTTGATATTTATTGTGCCCAAGTCATTCTTAATCTGATTGAGATATTCAAGTCTGCTCTCAAAGGTCATGAGAACAGAGGAGAGCTCATGCCATGATACATCCTCCTTGCTATTGAGTTGCACCACAATAGGTGTGTATTCTTCATCCAGTCCAGATAGAACTTGAGTTACCAAATCACTTGGATCTATGGTTTTTCCAGCAATCTGCAAGTTGTCAGCCAGTTGTTTGATGGTAGTAAGATACTGATCCATGGTCATTGATCCTTTCCTGGTCCTTTGCAACTCTCCAGTGAGGAATATAACTTTGGATCTATTCATTATCCCATAGCTTTCCTTGACTGCACTCCACAGCTTACATGAACTAGTGCACCCCATTACTCTCATTGCAATTTTAGGGGTCATGGATGAATACAACCATCCCATTAATAGCTGATCAGTTGAAAACCACTTACTGTAATCAGGATTTTGAACCATTTCTATGGCTTCTCCCTCTTTAGTAGCAATCTGAGTTTGTAAAAACTCTAGTGGACATGGCTTCGTTCCCAACAAAAATCCTTCAAGGTTATGCCCTCTGATCATGGGCATAACCATGTTTTGCCACAGCAAAAAAATTATCTCTATCCAACTTTATCGATGGAGTCTGGATGAGGTTTAACCCAAAAGGAGAGGTCTGATTCACAGGAGACTGAAAGGTTGTTGCAGTGCTCGACTCACTTGGAGGAGTTTGTCTTCCAGAATTGGTGTTAGCCATTAGGGCTCTGATACCAAGATAAAATTAGCGCTGAACGTTACTGCCTTTTG